GAGGAGTTGTCACATTAGCACCAGAGCACCAGAAAAATTTGGATTCACTCGAGTTGTTCGCAGATGACAGGCGCTGCAGTCCTGTGGGCGGGCGTCCCCGAAAGGAACCATATGATGGCTCTGGTTGAGGAACATTTCTTGAGCTTTTAGAAACATTTTATGATACAAAAACTTAACTGGAGAGGGGAAACCTTTATGATGAAGACCCCCGCGATGCTGAGGCACCATCGATGGACGGAGCTGTGTAATTTCGCCGTAGAACGTTTCGCCGAAGGACATTTCACTGAAGGACGTTTCGCCGAATGGGTCATTTCACCTATTGGGTCATTTTGTTGAATGGGTCATTTCGCCGAATTTTACAACTTGAAAGAACTGCTAATGTTTAAGTGAAGGAAGCATTCCTTTAAATTAAAATTTTTAATTATTTAAAAATTTCTGAAATTAGCTGAACTGGTCATGTTTAAAAGAGGGAAATATTTCTTCATATGTAAAACATTGATAATTTAAACATTTCCGAAATCAGTACAACTCGAAAGAACTGCTCATGTTCAAAAAAAGGAAGCATCACATTTGAACGTTTCTTATTTTTTTTTTCGAGACTGATTTCAATATCTACAGAAGTTTGAGAAAAGTTCAAAACTGTAGAAAATAGCTTGCTCTCCGGTGAAATGACCCATTCGGTGAAATGATCTATGACCCATTCGGCAAAATGACTTTCGGTGAAACGTCGTTCGGTGAAATTTCCTGCTCCCGTTCTGAATTTATCTAATTTATCTCCAAAAATCTGAACTTTCCAGCATTTATGGGAACTGCCCTTAATATCTCTGAAATTCACCAAAAATCTCTAGATCCTGCTTTTCTGTGGTACTTGGAGCTTCTTTAAAATTTCCCCAGTTTGTGTCAAATCTCTATCCCTATCTCTGATTCTTTTTTATCTTTGAAAATTCCTGAATTTCCAAGAACTTTTCAAAAGTTCCTGCAACTTTTTTGATTTCAATGGAACCACTTTAAAGTTCTCTAGGCTTCCATGAAGTTCCCCATATTCTCAAGATGTTTTAAGAACTCCTCTCTTGTTCCCGCAGCTTGTTTCATAAGCTTCACTGAATTTTTTTTAGTATTAACTATCGTTCCTACAATGATGTGAAGTTAATGGGACTTCTCTGAACATCTTCCATCAATCATAAAGTTAAATTTAAACGTGAAATAAATTTAAAAAAAATCTTAATCATGGCACATTGAAAATTTTCAATCGCTTGAAGAAAAACAAATGTTGATACTCAGAGGTTGCCTTGATCATGAGAATGCTGTTATGTCAAAATTCAAATTCATGCAGGTAGTTGGTCTATCTGTTAAGGTTGTCTTCATTGTCAGTTAACTTGAGTGTAGAAGAAATTATTTTGATCAGCACTGGTGTTGACTACTTTCCCCTAAACGATTTGATGATTTATTTCGTAAAAGTCTCTTGACATTTGTGCAGAAGTCCCCAACGTAAGCATTTTGGACTGAGTCCAAAATGTGTCTTGCCAAAACAATAATGTTTGGAATAATTCCTATTAATTTAATTTCCGTAAAACCAAAATGCACTTCCGTCTTATTTCCATATGCTTACCAATATAAAACATCGGAAACAAAAACGGTAAACAAACGGCTCAACACAATCTTCATCGCCTTTTTCATTGTTCAGAAGAAATACTATAGGTACTATTCCACACTCTATTCCGGAATCTGCATCAACCCTACAGCGGCAACAGCGATCCAACCAACTACAAAAAATACCCTTCCACTCTCCATCGCTAGAGTATAATCCGTATTGATTAGCATATCCGCTTCTATTTTGCGCTCAAAGGTATTATTTATTATGGCAGATTTAAATGCACACACACACCCTTGCATGTGCGAAAGCCAGTTAAAAACAAAACAATACCCCCGCTGCTTACCTTCCAGGTATATATCTTCAAGTCTTTTATACCTTCCACTACTAACGGCGACGATTGCATCTTATATTTGAGCTAAATTGAAGTACTTCACCTCTTCCAGGCGCGGTGCATTATGGTATGGAGGAATATAACTACTATCAAATCTGTTAAGTGGTGTGCTGGGAATAGCGAACCAGCTTTCGGGGAGTGTAGACTGCGAGGGTGAACATCGATGAACCGATGTATCGCGTTTCCCGAAGAAGCGTGGATCTGCTCAGCAGGGGTGTTCTCTTAGGTTTGATTTGTTTTCCAATTTTTTGTTGTACTCCAATTAAGGTTTTCGGAGCGGTGGTTGTCCCGCGAGGGCAGTTGATGGGAATTAATTTCAATGGAATTCAACTTCAAGAACGTGAATGATCCAGTCACTAACCGAAGAACGTGACTATACCGCTTGTGTAGGAATAGTTTAATTTCTTGTGTGCTGTACAACTATTTGCAACAAGTGGCCGGAAACAGCTGAATTGATAAAAGATAAAAGGTGAAAAAGGCAATGAAATATTTCTCCGCAAACAACCTGGGAGCAAGTGGAGCAACATTAATTTGATTAAATAGATTGATGGGTTATTTTATCCATATTCGACGCTATTCCTATGAGAAATCAATCGCGTGCCAGTACCGAAGATTGCTTCGTTAAATGTGTTTGCATGTTTTAGTAGCATTGGTATGATTTACATATAGTTCTTGTGACAAATTTTGGTCAGTCGTGGACAATTTTCCAGAGTTATAAAACAAATCAATCATAAACCAATGAACCGAAGTTCCCATAACAAATTTAGATCGATTGAACTACGTCAACTTGTACGATGCTCTGGAGGTAACCTTGGGAAGTATTTTTTTCCCAATCACGGACCATATTTTCAACAGCCCTTCCCTTTCTCTCTTTCAGGTAACTATATATTACAGCTTACAGTTTGTGTCATTGACTAACGACGAACGAGTGCTGCGACTGACTGGGGCAAGTCAATTGCATGAATTGTTGACTTGTCCGGAACATTCCTTCCTAACAAACCAATCTAATCGCTCCATTTTCACTACATGCGGCCTTGTGCTTCACGAAATCGAAGGTAAGTTCGGCTATCGCAGTGCCCGACTGCGTTAGTTAGTATATTGGATATTCCACTCCGAAATGTCAATCGAAAGAAAATGCTTCTCCACCGACTTGACGCGGTCACATGTTCGGAAATGCTCATCGGAGGCGGAAAAAGGTGCCCGGGAGTCTTTATGGCAGATAAGCCAATTGAGGCGTCCTTTGTCATATTGTATTTCTGCCTGGGAACGGTAGAAAACCAGGACATTTGTGGCGCGTTGTCGTACTTATGGAATCCAATTAGCCGCAGTGGCAAAATTCTTCGCGTGCTTTTGTTTTCAATGGCCATCGGAAACCTGCGAGAGGTTGTGGAAATTTTCGGAAATATTTCTGTTCGAATGCAATTTCTGATGCTCATTCAAGATCGGTTCGAATGCAAATTTTGTAGAAGTTATAATGTTTTTACAATCCATTCTAGAGAAAATTATGCCAGGAATTACTGTTTGCATGATTTTTCGTACAATTCGAATTGTTAAATTGAACTTCTTTTTTGATAACCGTAAAGATGGTGGTCCAAATTTTTTTGGAAGTACACCCAACCTGGAAATGTTAACATGAAAAGTATACAGAATTTGCAATGTTTCGCAACATTAACATTGCTTCTAGAAAATCATCACGGGAAGGTTTTTATACAAACATATGCATTCTGAAAAAACTACCCAAGTAACAATTTAAGTTTTATGAAATACTTCAAAGCAACTATAAAAAAAACATTCATAAAACCCTGGTCAAGGCTATTTTGTCATTACTGCATCCACCAAAACCTTCTTAAGACTAGAATATGTCTAGTTGGTCCACCCTGGAGAAGGTTCTGGAGGGTGTATTCTCGAAGCTCTTCAAGATTGATTTACTGCAAAAGGTTGTATGACGAACGCATTGAAAACCAAGAAAAGCTATTTAGCTACAATAAAAACCCTTTCCGAGCCATTTCCCCTAACCGCATGCTAAATCCACTAGGAAAGCATCAATCAAGATAGAAAAGGATTTATGAATCCAATCTTATCGAAATAATTAAAATAGAAACTGATGGTATAAAAATCTTGTTGAATATCCAAATGTTTTAACAATAGTTCTCATTTAGTGGGCTAGTTTTAAGTGCTTCATAAAATGTTATATGAAATGTATGTGAAAACATCGAAAACATTAAGTCCGCCCTCGTAAAACGTCGATTTGACTAATTATTTTACATTGAAAAAAATAAATAAAAAATATTGTTCAGATCGAGCTTGGCCGAGTTTTTTTTTATTATTTTCGCATTTAAATGTTTGCTCATTGCTAAATTTACCAAAACATAGTTATATCTAAGGAAGATAGATTGAACATTGAAGATTGTAAAAAACAAGCAAACTTATTGTAACATGGCGGTGGCATAAAAGTTGATTTTCATGGGTCATATGAAAAAGTTGTTTTGCTTTCAAGGATTCCTTAACAAATTCATAAAGTTTTAAAATGGCTTTTATGATGAAAACTTGCAGGCTGGTATGTTTTTTAAACATTCAAAAATGTTTTATGAATTCGAGGGGCCCGCTCAGTTTGCTCTTCTCCGCCAGATTGGCAGTCGTTGATGGTGTGCTGTTTCTTCTAAAGAAATAAATTTTGCTGAAATCGACTTGAATATTTCATCCTACTTCGTCTATCCTTCGAGATTTCCTTGTCATAAATTTGGCTTTTATTAACTATGAGGAACCATATTTTAAGCTCAATTTGTAAACAGAGTAATTGGGGAGTTTATGATGCACTTTAAAAAGCCTAAAAAGCAACAACAAATGCTTTTTGCTCTAATGCAAAACCTAATGGTTTTATGGTTGCTTTAATAATGATAGAACACGTTTATAAAGTATTTTATCAAGACATTAATAAGCAATTGCTAATGACATTTATGCTTGAATAACAGAACAGTTTTAAGAAGGGATCGAGAACTGATTTTTTTTTTTAAACAAGACAGTTTTTGACTTTCTTGCCAGCCTATAAAAGGTTTTTAAATCAGCAAAAAAGCTGAATTACTAAGTAGGAGTTGTTTGTACTTTGAAATGCTGTATTTAAACTAAATGGATTGTTCATTGTCGTTATAAAACCATCATAAATCAGAGTGGATGCCAAATGATTACTGAATTGTTACTTGGGATAACTTGTACACTGCAGTCCATTGCAAGAACTGCCATTTCATTTACTACATGGAACATATGCAGAGGATGTAATAAATCCAACCTTACGTTGGATGTACGAGAAATTTGTTTTGCGATGAAAAAGGAAAAAGCAGGAAAAAACTTATGGTTATTATAATTGTTTACTCTTCCATAGTACAGGAATTCAGTCTGAAATCTTAAAAAAATAGAAATGTCTCAGAGTCTGGCATTTTAAATATTTTATTGACAGTGCACACTGGGCAAAAATTTACAAAACCACGACTAAATTGAATATCTCGGTTGTCTAAAGCTTCCATCCCGGGATGTACTGGGATGAAAATCCCGGAATTGTTACTTTTCCCGGGATTTCCGAATCCCGGGAAATTTATTTGAAGATCCGGGATCGCGTGTATCCCGGAATTTTTTAATTTGAGACTCTTTTACCCGTTTAAATCTTTCCTGGAATATCTGGAGCATAGTTTGAATCCAGAACTTTCACATCTTATGAAATAGATCTCTCCCCTTCGTTTGCCATTCATTCTATTTTTTCGAAAGAATTGAACACAAACATCACTTTTTGAATATGATCGTTCTACAAGAAGCACTCGTGAAAAATACGATCTGGCAGTGAAACAAACCTAAAAAACTTTTGGATAAATTTTATAATCTAAATGGTACATAGACGAAAATAAGGTTGAGCGTTGTGAGATGTCCATCATTCATAATTGATCGAAAAACCATTGAAATGCATTGTTAAGATGGTTGGAAGTACGTAATGAAGCTAGTCTCAACTAATGAAAAGACTAAGTATTTGCAGTTTTTGAAGTCCTTTCTTAGATTACCGAGCGGAATCTTGTAAAATGCTTACTCCTTCTGGAGGAATTTCTATGTCACCGTTTTCTATCTTGGCTTCCATAGCTCTCCATCGCTGTCATTTGTTACACACAAAGGTATGCATTACCTTAACCCGTTAGTATGAAATCTATGTAATCCTAAAGCACGGCAAAATAGTTTATACAAATACATTCATGAGAGAAATCATCCACCGTAATCATTATGATCTACATGGACTATTGTGAAATTTGGCTGACAAACATAACATCGTGTCACATTAAGGAACTTCTTAGATGTCAAGAGACATTGGTTTGATTTCAGAGAACTTCATAGAAGTTCGTGGAACTTCGTAAAACTTCAGGGACCACCATAGATCTTCAGGATACTTCGTAGAATGTTAAACAACCTCGTGGACGATGATTAAGGAACATCGCATGGATTATTTGAAATTCGTACAAGTTCAGCAAGCTGGCCAGAAATTCAGTTGTACCTATCGAAAAATTAAAAGATGTAAGCTATGGAAAAATCTTTGAAGTACTAGGAACTTCGAATAAGTTGACGGAAAATCCCAGGATTTCGTTGAATATTCTACATATTCAGGGAACTTTATACAGGCTTTGAGTTCATGGAACTGAGTTGAAGTTCAAGAAACTTCTTGAAAGTACAGGAATCTTCGTATAACTGATATTCACGGATTTGCGATAATATCTCTGGCTATTATTCAAGAAGTTCCAACTTAATCAAGTAATGTTTTGAAGATCTGCAAGTGTTCAAAATTGAAAAGACATATTTTAGACATCCTTCCAAGAGGGAAGTTTGATTAGAGAGTATTTATAGGATATACAGCTGGTTGAAGATTTAAAGACCTCTGGATATTTTTCAAGACTTCAGGTTGATCAATTATTATTCATAAAATATTCAACTGTTCTTAAAATTCAAATAACGCCTCTAGATAGTCTCTCAAGATTGCTGGTTGGTCAGATATTAGTGAATTTAGGTGAATTGGCTCTCTCGAGATGACAGATCGGTTAAAAAGTACTTAAATGTCATTTTGAAGATATTCTCCCAAAACTAAACGTTGATTAGGAAGTATTCAAAAGATCTCCAGCTTATCGAATATTTCAGTGAAGTCCTGTGAATATTCAATTGGATCAAGTTTTATTCTGAAATATCCGATTTTGGCTACATTATTCATATTCAGGAAGAAGTTAAAAATATGAAGTCAAAAACTTAATTTATTTAACAAAATTCTTCATATTCCAGGTTAACATTTTAAAAAAATCCATCGGAAGCCTGCTTCAGCTTCCGCATGTCTTGAAACAACTTCACAAATCATGTGTTGTCTTCAAAATGTCTGCATGAAAAAAATACCTTCACATAATTTTGAATTCTTCAAAATGAAGATATGTCTTCAAATATGGTGTCCCTACCATTTAAGAAATCTCCTTTTTTTATCTGTCGTCGAAGGAGATGAAACATACGAATATTAAAACAGTTTACTATCTTTGATCCCGGGATTTCCCGGGATATCAAATAGATATTTACCGAATCCCGAGATGGTGGAAGCCACCGGGAAATGGAAGTTCTACGGCTGCCAAACGGTTTCAGTCAACATGTTATACATATTTTCAAAGGAAAAATTCTGCTGAATCGATTGGTGGTGGCCTTATTGCGAACCGAGATAGAGGGCCGGGATCAACCCGTCTCGCGGTAAAGTAGGAAATGGCACTATTCATCCACCCAATTTTACACTTTACTTAACGTACATTACTGGAAATTGATAGTACTAAGTATATATGGCGTAAAGACACCATATACGCCTTCAGGGAAACTCTACTGGCCTAAAGGAGGATCCGGAATGACCGATATAGTGGCCCCATTATAAAATAATGTCCTAGAACCTTGTGATTTTTTCTATGTTGTTCAGAATCAAGAGATCAAAGCGAATTTAATAAATAATTTATATTTTGGTGTGAAGTGGCCACATCCTGGTTCTCTGGATAATCTGGATTGAGTTGTCATAGCATGTAAACTGGATTGACGTAGAAGTTGTCATAGCATGTAAACACTTTACACCAACATTTTAAAATCTTTATTAAATTCGCTTTGATCTCATGATTCTGAACAAACATAGAAAAAATCGCAAGGTTCTAGGAGATTTTTTATAATGTGGCCACTTTATCGGTCGTTTCGGATTCTCCTTTAGGCCAGTAGAGTTTCCCTGAGGGCGTATATGGTGTCTGTACACCATATATACTTAGTACTATCAATTTCCAGTAATATACGTTAAGTAAAGTGTAAAATGATGTCAATAGATAGTGGCATTTCCTACTTCACCGGGAATTCGGGTTGATACTGGCCTTACATCTTGGTACGCAAAAGTCTCCGGCCAATCGATTCAGCAGAATTTTTCCCTTGAGAATATGTATAACATGTTGACTGAAACCGTTTGGCAGCCGAGATATTCAATATAGTCGCGGTTTTTTTAAATTTTTGCCCACTGTGCAGCGCCAGTAACGTAGTGATAAGCGGCACTGCTTTCTCAACCCAGCGTGTCTGGGTTCAATCCCAGCCGAGGTCGTTGGCATTTTTCTGCGGCGAATATATCTCTGATCCTTTGGAAGGGAAGTAGAGCCATTGATCTCGGTCCATGTGTTCATGGATGCCATATCTACCCAGGTGTGGAAACCACCTCTTTGGCCATTTGATTGCCGTCAATAGATGACAATCGATGTCCGTCGGTGATTGGCACTAGATTGCTGAACAGAGACTGATGTTAAATAAAAAACCCAAGAAGAAGAAATAGAATATTTAAAAAAAAATTGTGAACACTGAAAGCTTTTCACGACACAGATTCTAGGAAAATATCCATTTTTACGGGATATTTAAGGGGGTTTGTCCAAGTTTGAGATCTAACATTCCTTACTACTACACTTTTCTGAAATTTTGAATCCAACAATCAGGAACACTTTTCTAAAATCTACATCCTGAAATTTATTCTCGATCAAAGTCTCAGAATCTTATGAGTGTTTGTTAATCGTGGAACTTGAATTTCTGTGTATGGACTCTTGAAAAAATGTTCAATGCTTGAATCACTAAATTAGGTCTTTGAGACTTATCTTTGCAAATTTCTCAAGGATTTCCTAAGGATCATTCCAAAATGTCTTCAGAATTACTTTTAATTTCAAGATTCCCCTTAATCGGCGCCGGTGGTGTAGTGGTAAGCGTGATTACCTTTCACCCCAGCAGGCCTGGGTTCAAACCCAGTCGGCACCGCCGGGATGTTCTGAGGCATAACATCTCTGATCACGCCTTTCTTCGGAAGGGAAGTAAAGCCGTTGGTCCCCAGCTCATGAGTTGATGGGTCGATAGGTAGGGTCCAGGTGGGAGCTGCCTCCCTGGCGTCGATAGCATTGGTGCTCAGCACGGAAAACAAGATCGACAGAAAACAAATCAAGGAAAACATAAAAGATTCTCCTTAACAATCTTATAATTCTGTCTGGTATTCTGGTCTTGGAGTTTTGTGTAGAAAGCTTAAGGAATACCCTCCAGAAAGCGCTTGAAATGTACTCTACGTGTATTTTCATATTCTTAATAATTGCTGAATAATGCTTATTTTTTGCAAATCATTTGGTTACTATTTCGTTTAGGATTAAAAATATTATTTTACCAAAATGTCCTAGGATATCGCCTCTGAATTCCATAAGAATTAATTTCAGATTTTCCTTAATTCTGCTCACAATGCCGTAGAGTGGATCTAAAGAAATTTTCTTCGAATTCTCTTGAAACTCTCCTTAGAATCCCCTCTGAAATTCCACCTAAATCATCTGCAAGACAGTTCAAAATTTGTTTGGAAAAATGCTTGAAATGTTTTACCAAACCCTCCCGGAAGCTTCTTGAAATTCTCGTAAATTGCATAAGAAATATCTTGGGAATTATCTTGAAACTATCTTCAAATACGCTTGTAATTGTGTAAAATACTGTTTGAACTAGATTAACACTCGATGACGATGCCTCTGATAAAATGGGTAACGGAAAATTGGCAATATTTGAGAAATTAATTGGAAATTTATCGATAGATTTAAAATTTGTAAAGCATGTAGTTTCAAATGGCGTCAAAAGATTTGTCCATAATTGGCTGAACTATGATTTTTCAAACATTGCAAGTTTTCTGTTACACGTATTCGGTGTGTTAAGAATTATCCCCAGTAGTCCTACACTATAACTGTTCCCTTTCGTCTTTCGTATCGACGAGATACAAACCGTTTGTACTTAAACGAGAATTATTGTGACACAGAATTCTATTGTTTGGCTGTCAGCTCAATATAAGATTCGTTTAAGTTGTGCACTAAGTGGAATTCATTGATTTTCCGTTCGTTCTTACTTGAGTGGTTTTATGGTCATATGGAAAAGCAATAACCTGTACCTGTTCAGCTACGAAGCGACCTGCACTACAGGAGTCAATTTTGTAAATTAGCAACCACTCTCTAGCTGATAAGCATTTAAATAATTATTGCATGGGCAACCTGAGTTCGTCGAGACCTCTTTCGGATCAACTGTTTCCAGAAAGGTATCCATCCACTCAACTGAAGCTCCACGTGTTTCTCACCTCACTACTGTGGACCGTAAATTTGACACAGGGTTCAACGGCTTCTAACTCCCAGAACTTCTGGAGGGCTTGTTCCAGATTACGGTCCACGTGAAACTTCAGGTGAGTGGATGGATACCTTTCCGGAGACAGTCCATCCAAAAGAGGTCTCGACGAACACAGGTTGCCCTTCGCCGCAGGAAATCTTACTGCCAGTGTGCAGTTCGTGGTACACTTCTCCACCGACAATCAGGTCAATATCGGCTGGAATGTGGAAGCTTGGATCAGCTAACGAACCTTCAGGAAATTTCCACGAGGAAATGTCAATCGGCATGGTTGGCAGGCAGACTGTGGGCTTCTTCAGGATGAGGAACTCGAGCGTTGTACTGTTCAAACGCAGCGTGGATTTAATAGTAGCAGTCAACTTGCGCTTGATCTGCTTTGACGTTTCACCGATTCCAGACACGGCGATGTCTACTTTCGTTCGACGGAGGTTGAGTGTGTTCGCAAGCTTCTTCGTGATGATACTGCTCATCGATCCTGAATCTAGGAGTACACGAGCGGAAAACTCTTTGCCATTCTGGTCCACAACTAGGAGGTTGACCGTTTCCAACAGGACCGTGGATTGGTACGAGTGTATCGACAAGCTCACTTGGGGGTTCAGATTCACTGATCCGGGGGTTGTTCGACGTCTGTCGACGTGGATGGATTCGGTTGTTGGGATGGCTGACCAGATATAGCTACTGAAGTGGATTGTATCTTCGTGGTTACAATTTCGTGCAGCAGTGTAAGGTGTTTCTGGTGACAGGTTCGGCAATCGTACTTGGATGTAAAATTCCTCCTTTGGTGTCCAGAGCGGAAGCAATTCCAACATAAATACCAGTTCTCGTCGCTGGCGAACAGACATCTTGGAAAACGTTGGACACTGGAACAGCAAGTGGTTCTCTGGACAGGCGATACAGTACGGAGCGGAGTGCTTGGATTCGGTCGTGGCGGAATTGGATACCATCTTGAATGGCTTCTTCTGGATTGGACTGGCCGGGTTGGTTGGAACGATGCTGCAGATCAGTTACGACGGACTTCAACATTCGAGCACTTTGGTATAGGCAATCAACTAACTGCTCGTAGGTGACATCATCACTGCTGCAATATTTCCTAGCAGCTGCCCTCACAAGTTCTCTTTGATCAATTGTTTTATCAACATTAAAGCAAAATATATTTTCAGCCGTAGTTGATCATTAGGCGTAGTTTCAAAATTGGAGTCAGTTATATCATCAATAGGTTTCAGCCATAAGGACTGTTCATTAATGAAAGTAGACACACAAAGGAAAATATTTATTTTCGAACAAATTGATAAGTTTACTCTATATAAATGAAAATCAACATACAGATGACCGATTTCACGTGAGTTTGAATGTTTACTTCTCATTTCTGAAGAACGCTCGAGCTTTTCTCTTGATACTGCCCATTAGATTCTGCACTACTTCTTAACTTTTCGTTGTGCTGCAGACCAAATTTTCTTGAAGCAGGACACAGTGCTTGCTTCTCTTCCATCTTTCTTGAGATTCCGTTTAATTATTGCCCAATATCTTTCGATAGAACGCAGTTCTAGTTTGGGGGATTTTGGAATGTTTCGACAAAATCGACTTTTTCCTTCTTGAGCACCTCCGACGTAGCAGAAACATAGTGAGCAGATGCCAGATCCGGCTAAAACAATGGAGGATCCGTATGCTTTCGGTAGATGGGTAGAGCCGTTTTTTGATGCATCCTTTTCTGTAATTTTCACCATTGATTGTGCCCTTTGTGAAATACGAAGAACTCTTCAAGCCACAGGAGCAAATGGCTTGCCACACCAAAACCTTTTATTATCCCAAATTTTTCGGTTCGGATGTATCGCACATCATTAGGCACATCTATCCTCTGCTCAGCGTTGAAAAATTTCGGCCCGGGAAGTGTACCGGTATCCAATTTGACGTACGTCTTATCGTCCATCAAAATGCACCGGTTCCGCTTTTGAAGGAGAACTTCATATAAGTTCCGTGATCGTATTTTAGAAGAAGCTTTCTGTAAATCCATCCTTTTGGGTGCCTTTTGCTTCTTGTAGGTTCTGATAAAGTTACGTTTTTTTTTTTATATTCTGCACAGTTCCGACGCTAATTGCCATTTTTTTTTGGCAATTTCACGAACGGAACACGGTTTATGCGATTTCAAAAGGCGCACTGCTGCCAGCTACTTTTTCTGGTCCGATGCCCCCTTTTTGCGCCCAGATTTTTCCAAACTTCTTAACAAACTTGAACAGTGTAGATTTACTGCACTTCACGTTTTTTGCCATTTCTCGAAACTCGGAAAACCATTTGTGCATAATTAATCTGCGAGTTGATAAGCTGATCTGACCCATCGATCTGAATTTCTCACTTTTTTATTTTATTTTTCAGGGGTGTTGCCAAAATAAACAATGTTTTTACACACTGAGCGAAAATTCACAATTTTTCGTTACGTTTTAATTTTAAGCCATTGATAAACAGGTGTCCACTTTCTTTATTGAACAGTCCTTAGGGTTACTTCACTTTGAATCTTCCTCAGAATTCCTTTATAATGCTCCCTGAAATTTTCCCGATTTTTAAGAGTTTCCTCGCATTTTACTCACGATCTCCGTAATAGTCTTCAGAACTATTTTGGGATTCATCATATCATTTTTCTGAAATACATCTCAAAATATCCATAAATTTCTTATAATAATTCTATGCTTGAAGTGAAGTATCAGAATCCCAAAAATGTTGTTCATGAAAATAGTTTTTAGCAAAGTGAGTCGAAGCAATCCTGCTCGGAATTATCTGCCGCTATATTTGCCGTACATCAGCCTTGCAGGCTTGTTGGTTACTTGGGTCAAGTAACTAGTCAGACAATAGGTTATGTTGCCGATCAAATCCTGCCGTGAACCAATGTCTTGTTATCCTGATGATTGGGAAAAACGAATTCTAAGTTAAATCCAAAGATCAGACTCTTGAAACGATTTAAATACCCCACAAACACGATTTCCTGCATCATCTCCAGCCTGGCAAACCGTCCGCCCAAATAACCTAAATCTAGATTACCGCTAATCTGCGACCCAATCTCGTTACCATCGTGCAAAACAGAAAAATTGATCCGCCACGCACATTTCCAGCCACTCCAAACCGTGCCGAAACCTAGCGAAAAAAAAATCGCTAAACCATAGACGCCAGGAGAGACGCGATCTGAAAAGTGAGAGTAGGTAGGTAGGTAGGTAGGTAGATAGTGATTGGTCTAGCGACTGCGTCGCCGCCACCGTCGCGGAAAAGAAAGTGCGTGAACCGCATTTCACATCCCCGAAAATATCGCGCACTCACACCAGTTTGGGCAGTCAAGCATGGAACCAGACAAAGAAATTCAACTATCAACAGCACCAGCTCCAGCAGCAGCAGCCGTTGTCGCTGTTGCCAACCATGCTACCTCCAGCAGAGCACCACCGCTCGAGATCATTAGCATACCTATAGGTGGAAAAAAGTGCGTAGAAGGGTGGAGTCGGTGATTGTTGCTCATTGTCGGTTTTCACCGGTTAAGGCTCGATGGTTCAAGAGGAATAACCACCAAAGTGGCGAAAGTCTCCGACTTGACCATACGCACAGGCCTACGACCACCGAAAAAAAAGCACCGCTCAAGCACTTGGCCACTCCGCGCAGAGTGCGTGAGCCTTGTTTCGGCGGGTAACGACCGTACACATGGCCGCGCCGCCACGACTTCAACCTCGCCCGTCAAGAGGCGACGGACAGTGGGTTTACTTTCGACCATCACATCCGAAAAATCTCCTCTCTTGGTATCTTGAACTGTAGAAATGTGCATAAAAAAAAAAAAGAGAAATGGTCACCGCCACTGACTGATGCTGGCCATTTAATCTCAGGGTGTGTAGTGAATGTATCAAATCTCCCCGAAAACCATTTTCCGCCGGTGTGCTGGTGGTGGCGGGGCGGTGGAGCGCACCGGAGTCAGTTTTAATCATTTAAGCGTCTTTTATGACTGGCCGGGTGAAAAGATATGATGAATTCGTCAAAAGATTCAATTGTGGTCGCGAGCAAGGTGGGTTAGACAGGCAAGGAGAAAAACCGTTGAATATGTATCGCGAAGCGATTAGCTTGCCAGACGGCTGGGAGACAATGAAGCAATTCCACCGTGGGCCTGGTTTTGATTGGCAAAACACGGCTGGCTGCTAAAAGGTTTCACAAATGTAAAATTTGCCAGCAGTTTCAAATCCAAATTGAAGTTTTCGCTACTCTTTTGCAGTCTTGGGAATGTGTTTCAGAGCTGATTTTTCTTTAAATTATGGCCTTCACTGAAAGCTTACTGTCCAATATAATCAATATTTGTACCGGAATCATATTTTAGACGCTTAAAAGTTTCAATTCATCGATATATTGCTGAAGTGTTCTTAAATTGAGCTATCTGAGATAATATTTTGAAATAAATATCAAAACTATCCGGATTCACTTATCTTAAGCAAATTCAAATTTCGAACAGAAAAGATTCAAATTTCGGACACCCAATTTTGTATATGGTGCTTTAAGCTGAAGCGTGTCCCACATCAAATTGCATCACGGAAAAAAACGGTGTAGAAAATTACCCATTGGGTATTTTCTCTTGAAAAATTGGGGTAGAAGTAGTTTAGAGTGTATTGTTTACACTGTATTTTTATCGCTGTCAGTTTTTCGAAAGTTGGAAAAAAGATGGCGTCACGAATTGATTTTGCGCAAGCACCTGGAAAATCCTGAATTCACTCATCGGCACATCGGCAAACAACTCGGAATCGTGCAGTCAACGGTGAGACGTGTGATTAAATGTTACTACGAATCTCTGAGCATCGAACGGATGGAGAAATGCGGTCAGATTGGATGTACTATTAGTGATCAGGATCACAAGCGTGTCGTGAAAGCGTTTAAGCGGTATCCCAATGCTTCGGTCAGGGATGTGGCCAAAAAGTTGAATCTGTCCAAGTATTTCGTTCAGAGAGACAAGGACCGGGAGGGACTGCATACGTACAAAGGCTCCAAATACGGTGGGAAAGTCATGGGCCCGGATACTGTACACCCAGATGCTGACGAAGCCTCATTGTCTCGTTAATGGATGATGAGACTTACGTCAAGGCGGACTTCCTGCAGCTTCCGGGACTACTGTTCTTCACCACCCAGCACAAGTTTGATGATCGGGAGGAAGTAAGAAAGCACAAACTTTCAATCAATCAAGCAATCTGCTCATGTGGCAAACGGAGTTCGTGACTACCGGAACTGTATATGACGTCTATGTGCATGATTAAATAATGTCTGTATAAATACAGCTGTTTGTATATCTGGTATTCCTGGTGTGGAGGTGTTTTAAGATAGAACTGACAGTTGGTCAAGTAAAATCAATGCGTTTTGAAGCCTTCCAACCTGGTAGCAGTGTGTATGAGTAAGTTGCTCAAACATCGCATGTATTTTAAATGGGTTGACCAACAGGTTGCCGGACAAGTTGAATAGCGGATTGAATTGTGTGTAGTTCAGTTGCGAAATTTTCTCTCCGTTGACGAATTTGCGAAAGTCGAAGTGAATAATTGTTGTATGTACGATTGTATGAAAAAGTTTATCATTTCGATTTTCGAATTGAGGCCTCAGGTAACAGTGTGTATGGGCCACATTAGACGAGGCAAGTCAATTGATAAACTCATATAATTCAACTGACTTGCATTCAATTCGTTTAAATCAGCTTGTTTGGACGAGACAAGCCAGTATTTCAACTTTCGTTCAGGTCAAGTCAGTTAAAACGGCAAGGTTTACATGTTAAATCCGCATTCAATTCATTTGAATTTCCGGCTTAAGGTCAAATCATTTTGTGAATCTCACTTGAATTTAGTTGACTTGATCGCGAAGAATCGATTGACGTGCCTCGTCTAAACCCGGAGTTAAACGTCAGAAGAGCATTCGACTGAGTCGAGCAACTGACTTAAGCTGGGCTTAGTCACTAGACTAGTTTTCTAAACTAGCTGATTCGATAGAATTTAATCCAAGTTAGTTGACGTTGGTATGAGTGTAAGGAATTAAAATGTGTGTGCGCTTTAGACATGGCAAGTGAGTTGAATTCAATTCACCCTGTCACTCTAGTCGACATTCAATTGACTAGAGCAAGTCTGACTTCAAATAGCTTTCTAGGTGTTCATTTCGCAGTTCAAGTAAGTTGAACGCTGAAGTGAATCATCTAAACCGAGTTTAAGTCTATTTCCAACGTTGAGTATTCGCTTTCAAGTCACTTGAATGATGACCACCAGATCGGAGGTGAGATGAATTTCACTCACTTGCCTCATCTAACCGCAGCTTTAGGCCGGGTTTAGAGAAGGCAAGTCAATTAATCAACTCAGGCTTGAAAAGTTGAGCCCGGGTAAACTATTTTAAATTCAAGTGAATTGGTCAACTGACACTTCCCTAGCAGCTGAATAATTGTGGCTACTTGTGTGCAACTTATTCTAGTCCCAATCAAGTTGTGGCAACTTATGCTGATGGAAGTTTGCTGCTTGGGTTGGGCATTCAGATATACCGAATTTTGAACTTGATACCGATACATAGATAAGGTCCCAAGTAACCAACGAGCCCGCTAATTCGCCTTTTTGCAATATAAGGCTAATACAAGGCTAACATAGGGCATGCTTAGCTTTATATTAGCTACATATTAGCCTTAAATTGCAAAAAGGCAACTTAGCGGGCTTGTTGGTTACTTGGAGTGTCCCAGAATACCGATTTTTGAGATTTTATACCGATTTATACCGATTTATACCGATTTTGTTTTAATAATCAAAATGATTATGCCTGCCCGGGCTGAAATGTCAACTGAGAAAGACTTAATTTTTTTTTTCTTGAGCCTCAAATATAAAAATGCTCATAAAATTACCTTTAGAAATGTCTTATGGTTGATACTCTTTCGGATAATGCTTCTATTTCCTCGCAATTTTTGGATGTACAGGAATCGAGAAACAACTGATGGTTCATCCTGGATGGGAATCGGAAAATTATTTTATTCAGTTAACAAATAGCTCCATTCAAATTGATTTTTTTTAACGTTTATTTAAACTTTCTTTTTTCCTTGATTTGTTTTTCGTCAATCTTGTTTTCCGTGCTGAGTACCAATGCTACCGACGCCAGGGAGGCAGTTCCCACACCTGGACCCTACCTATCGACCCATCAAACTCATGAACCGGGGACCAACGCCTTCACTTCCCTTCCGAGGGAAGGTGTGATCATAGATTTTATGCCTCAGAAAATCCCGGCGGTGCCGACTGGGATTGAACCCAGGTCCTTTTGGGTGATAGGCAATCACGCTTGCCACTCACCACCGGTGCCGCTATTGAATCTTTCCTTGGAATTTTTCCAACTTACCCCTTTGCAAGTTTTATGGAGGTTTTAAAGCATGCTATAAGGCTTAATCATGGTCTACAGAACCCTTATAAAACCAAAATTGTTACTTGGGTTGGATGTTTCTTCTGACTTCGCTCGAAACGTGCTTCTGTATTCTCCCGCCATTTTATGTTTATCAAACTCCAGAGTTTTAATGTGGTTCCATTAGCTTCAGGAAAACTGCAGGAACTTTTGAAACGTTTTGAATCATCAAAAAAGTCCCGAGTAAGAGTAAGTTCCGATAAATTAATGACAGTATCATTAACTTCTTTTATAAATCGAAAACCCGGGAATT